TGGCAGCCCAGCTCCAGGTTGAGCTGTTGTTCAGCATCTTAGCTGCAGAGGGCAGTGTCACTGGCCCTCATGTGGGATCCGAACCGGGGCCCTCATGTGGGATCCGAACCGGGGCCCTCTGGCGTCCCAAGCCAGCTCTTAACCAACGCGCCACTCGGCCGGTCCCAGACTCACATATTTTTAACATGTGCCCATTTCCTTTATTATTTGCGTTCACGCTTGGTGGTCACTCTTGTTCACGCATTCTCGCTCTCTCCACACACACACACACACACACACTCACATTCACACACACACTCTCACACTCACACACTGACTGACACCTCCCCCCCCCCACACACACACACAGGTAGACGTGTGGACCATCTGAGGGTAATTCCATGCATCATGGTTCTTTACGCCCTACATTCTTTAGAGCCTAGGAATTGGGATATTCTCTTGTGTGTCCACGGTACAATTATTAGCTCCCTGAATTGACACTGATATACAGTTCTTCCATCCACCGCCCCTAGTCCAGTTTTCATCAGCTGACCCACTGCTGTCCTTCATAGCAGTTGTTTTTGTCTGTGTAAGAAACATTCGAACCTTCAGAGAATTCTTATAAGCGTTTGTTTGAGCCAATCTGACAATGTGTGCCGGGAAGCAAGCTCTCAAGTGCTCCTGAGAAGGGCAGATTTGCAGCTTCTTTCGTGCGTTTGCGATTAAGGAGGGATGATGACATGGCGGTGAGGGGGTAAAGCAAGGCGGGGATCGGATTACAGGGTGGTTGCATTCTGCGCCCTCTTGAGAAGTCCGAAAGGGTGGCCAGGTGTTAGGAGGAGGGGTCTGAAAGAGGCATTTCAAAGGCAAGTGAACCCTGCTGCACATAACAATGGGCAGGACTGGCTCAAGGCCAAGATAAGCCTTTCAATAAAGAAGTCACATGCCTGGGGCCCGACTCCCCACCATGACCTGTCCCGGTAGGAAGTTATGATCCGGTCACCCTGGGAGGGTACTTTCCATAGAATCCCCGTTTTGTCCCTATTTTCCACTCCAGTACAGGTTCAGACAGTGCCCGTAATCATCACATCTCTTAGCCTTCTTTGTCTTTTATGACTGACATTTGTCAAATGTTTTCAAGGGAACAGGATGTAATCAGGAGTTTTTTCAGGTTGCAGCAGCTCACGCCGACCTGTTTGCTCTTGTGGGACCCCGTGCGACTCCATGGAGGTATCCGCGGTGCTCACTACTTGTCTTCTATCTTTTTAGGTCTGCTGGCGATGACGACTGTTCCTTTGGATTTGTTTAAGAAGCAGCCCTCTGGGCTACAAAGCTTTACGCTGACTGGCGGGCCCTCGGCAGGCAGCCCAGTGTTGGGGTCGGTCACCGCAGAGGTACGTGGCCAAGTCCCAGCTTGACCCACGTAAGATAAAGGGTGTCTTCGTTTCTCTGTCAGAGTCTTGCTCTGGCTTCAATGTGAAGCAACAAGCTCATCGGAGAAGAGTTGCTATTTCATACTCTGCATTTCTAGACTTGACCGGACACTTCCTGTCCGGGACCCGGCCGGGCTGTCTGTCTGCCGTGTGACATGACTTGCCGGGGTCCGGTTCACATGGGCCAATCCCAGAAAGGGCTATTTTATGTTGTTTGCTCCTTCACCTTTTGCTCCCATCATTCCGTGTTGCTGGGTTTGAGCACGGGCCCCATCGCCCTCTGTCAATCCTGGGCGACCGGGTTCCTGATAACACCTAGGGGCCCTCACTGAGGAAGTCAGTGCACCGGCCATGAGACATAACTGGCCCTTTCTGCAGTTCTGTTTCGTAGAACCCGGGGAAGCGAAATCCTGGCAGCCGCCGCCGCCTGTCCCTGCTGCGAAGATAGAAAAAGACCGCACGGTGATGCCCTGTGGGACTGTGGTCACCACTGTCACGGCCGTGAAAACCAAGCCTCGCTTCGACGCGGGGAGGGCGTCCCCGCTGAGCTCTGGTGAGAGAACGGAAACCGCCTCCCTGCGGAAGCGCGCAAGCCCCTCTCTCCCTATAAAGGTCTTGTCTCTGAACTGCAGGCTGTGGGCCGCAGTGCTGTTATTTAAGAAAATCTCACAGCACAGGGAGAAAGGTAATTGGCAAGACTTTTGTGTAGCTTTTTTTTTTTTTAAAGAAAATTACCTTTCGGTTTTGTCAAATGAATACATGACAAGCCAAAGCAAGGTTCAACCCTGTAGTATATTCTGAAGCTAAAATGTAGCTATTGGATGGCACATCTGGTTAAGATCTCCATAATGTTTACGTGGGGACAGCACACTGTCTTGAAACACAGTTTCTTATGTTAAAAATCATTTATTAGAAGGCTTGACGAGCTGTCATTTTATTTATTTATTTTTTAAAGATTTTTATTGGGTAATTGGGGGGATGGGAACAGCGCTGGGGAATTGGGGGAAGGGGAACAGACAAGTTGCTGTCGTTTTGTTCTTCAATCTAGTTGTGGAGGACGCTGTTTCACTGGCCCAAGTTGGCACCATCATTGCGCTCTTCCCAGGCGAGGCAGATCAGTCGCCGGCTTCTGGACGGCCGCTCACTGCGGCTGCTGGCCGCTCACGCTAGCTGCTGGCTACACACGGTAGCCCATGGCAACCCACTGCAGCAGGGGCTGCAGCCTATGCCGTCGCCAGCAACTCATGGCAGCCCAGCTCCAGGTTGAGCTGTTGTTCAGCATCTTAGCTGTAGAGGGCAGCGTCACTGGCCCTCATATGTGGGATCCGAACCGGGGCCCTCTGGCATCCCAAGCGAGTTCTTAACCATCACGCCACTCGGCCGGCCCGAGCTGTCATTTTAGATCCAGCTGAATTTGCCACCTGTCCCCACAGCTACCACCTTGGACATGACTTCTGTATCAGTGCATGATTTATTCTTTTATTTATACTGTGTTTCTGCTTGTGCAGAAGTATCATCTTTCCAAAACAGATGGCTTGGCACAGTTCTTGAACGCAAAACAGAAAGTGAAATTCTGGCTTAATTAAAACATTTCTGAAATTTTATTGAAACCCAAGCTTCAATGCCCTTTTATGCCTCCCCCCCCCCCCCCCCCCCCCGCAAAAGAAGAAGAAGAAGAGAGGTGGTTCTTAAGGTTTGGCCCATGCTTTTCCCAACGGCATGAAGTGGGGTTCAAGTGAGCTGTGTGTCATTTCACTTCCCCGTGACTATAGATTCAGACCGTGTGTGGAGATTGTTGTAATTGGGGTTTTTCCCTGGCAGAGTCTCCCCTGAGGACGCCTGTCAAGGTGAAGGTGATTGAGAAGGACATCTCCGTCCAAGCCGTCTCCTGCCACGGCGCTCCCGTCAGTAAAACCCTGTCTTCCTCAGACACAGGTAATGGAAGCCACGCTCTCGGCGTCTCCCTCTCTGCTGAGCTCTTCTCACAGCCTCTGGTCTGATGAGAAGAGTGTGTGTGTGTGTGTGTGTGTGTGTGTGTGTGTGTGTGTGTGTGTGTGTTTCCCATGGGAGTTTGGGAAGCTCTTTTGAGTAATAATTGAAGAACTAAAAGGAGAAAAGGGAAATCGAAGTTGATCAAAGACCAGGGGTTGGCGTTACCACTGCCCCTGCTTGAGTGACAGGGGACACTTCAACAAAATAAACATAAAACCCAGTTGATGCCTCACTTTACAAAATTTCTGCCTCTTATTTTTTCTCTTGTTCAATGTGCCAGTTACATGAATATCAGAAAACAAGTAGGACCCCTAATCATAAAGACGACCTTATTTTTGTCCCCACGGCCCCATGAAACACCATCACAGGTGGTTAACCACGCTTGCCGGGGGTTAGGAATGACTGTGTTGCCTTTCAAAGTTCAAAATCCCCCAAAAGGTTAGAGATTTGTTTGTTTACCTGCGTTAGCTGTTTCTCATCACCTCGAAAGGGGTGTAACTTACACAAACATGCAGGGATGCAGTGTACACATCAGTGAGTATCATGTGACCACACAAAGTCCTCTGTAGAGGGCGGGGGTCCACAGAGTCTTCAGCGTTTGCTAATGTGTCCACACCGCCTCCCCCCGCAGAACTGTTGGTGCTGAATGGCTCGGATCCAGTGGCCGAGGTCGCCATTCGACAGCTCAGCGAATCTTCGAAGCTGAAGCTGAAATCGCCGAGGAAGAAAAGCACCATCATCATATCAGGGGTCTCCAAGGTGCGGCCACCGGGGGCGCTGGCATCTGTTGGCAACCTGCTGTCGCTCCCCTTGTAGCTCTTGATCTATGTCCAGAAAGTTCCATTTACAAATGTCAGTCCCGCCCCCCCACCCAGCAGGGGGCGATCCCTGGAATTTATTCACACAGCTTATCCTGTTTATGAAGGAAACTTGAACATTTCTGACCAGGGGGTGCTTTGGTCGTTGGGAGGTTGGTGACTCATTTGCAGAAAAGTTATTGAAAAAGACCGACCTGATATAAGACTCCCCTTGGTGATACAACCTCCACCCTTATCACTCACTGCTCGATTATGGGGAACTTTCACTTTCCACATTACACGTTTCCAAACCATTTTAATTTTTTGCCTTTTGCAATCAGAGAGAAACCTGGCTGGGTTTGAACACAGCCCGATCCCCATCCCTTCCTTCTCCTGCTCTGTGATGTTTGTCCAGAGCAGATGGTGGGTGGGAGGCCTTCCCTGGTGGGTGCCAAGCAGGCCAGGCTGCTGGAGAGGCCAGACCCTCACGGCCAGGGGCCACATGCCAGCCCCTTACTCCTTTTTCACGTTTCAGAATGAACAAGGAGAGTGTGAGCCATGGAGGGACGGTTGGGAGAGTTGATGGTGGGAGGGGCTGCGGAGGCAGGAAGAAGAATTGGTGAACCCTGAGGGCACATTGATACTTTGAGGGCACCCAGGGGGTGGGACGGAAGGGCACACTGGAAACCAACCTCTCAGAGGCGTGTCACCAACGTTACATTCAGGGTGCGGGTGGCCAGTGCTCAAGTCCCAACAGGCAGAGCTGGCAGGTGGGCTAGAGCATCATCGCAGAAGAGCCGGGAGGCGCCTCTCTGGGTTTCCTGTGTGCACTTCCAGCAGCAGCCAGCAGGTGGCGATGGCGTCTCTGGAGGTGCCCCCAGGCCCACGGATTGAAGGGTTGTTTTGGTTTTGAGTTCTAGGTGAATGTGAATGAAATAAGGATGAGGCTTATGACCATTCTCCCCTACGCTTTCTCTAAGGTTTTATTTTTAAATCGTTAGGAACACGTGGATCCTAACATTTACTGTACCCAGCCCACTACAGTCGCTGTTTCTATCGATGTTCAAATTGTCCCATCGGCGTCAGCAGGCACTTCTGCAAGCTGGCACTTGAGTCAGAAACGAGCAGTTGTCACTTGTCACTAAGCAGGTGATCCTGAGCAGCTGCTCACAGATCCAGAACAGCAGGCTGGCCCCATGGAGCCCCCCCACCCCGGGTCCCCCCACCCCGGGTCCCCGGCTGTCACTCCCCGCTCAGGGAACCACTTTCCTGACTTCCAACCCTGTAGGTTACTTTAGCACCTACATGTTTCCCACACAAGCGTAACCCTTGGGATACAAAGTGTGTACCGAGAGTTCCCGCTCGCTATGGGCACAAAGGCTCACAAGTGGCCTGAACCTGGAGCTTCGAGCTCACGTCCGTCCTCAGTCACCCTGTCTGCCCGCTCTTCCATCTCGCCTCTGGGCCTTTCCCGCAACTCTTCCAGCCAGGCCATCTGCTGGGGGGGGTGGGGGGAGATATCACCTGCTTCTGTGACACCCTCAAACTGCGAACTCGGGGCCGCCCCCTCGCTGCCGGGTGGCCCAACCCTCTGCCCCAGTGGAGACCTGGTTCTGTGTTTCAGGCCCCCTGCCATGCAGCTGCCATGTTTCATGAGCTGCCTTCTTGGGGGCCGGGCCTCTTCTGACGCTTAGAAATCACCGGTCAGGGGTTTGGACTGGGCTTTTCCATGCCCATGTCCGCACCCCCTCCCGTGGGTCCATGTCACCTTCCCTTGTAATGACTTCTCTCTCCCTGGACAGACCTCGCTATGTCAGGACAGTGATGCCGCCCTGATGCTGGACTACGCGGCTTCCATGGACAGCACCCGCGAGGATGACGCCCTGTCCCAGCGCGGGGCGGCTGTGGCCTCTGCCCTGCCCGAGGAGGAGCCCTCAGCACGGGCATCATTGGTCCTGGAGCCCCAGGATTGCGAGCTGGCCTCCTTGGACTTGGAGAAGGAGTCACAGGCCGAGGTGTGGGATGACCAAGCCCCACGGTTCCCCGAAGGGGATGAGCTGTCAGAGAGCTCCCTGAGTGTCTCAGAGCCGGGCGCTGCCAAAAAGCATAAAGGTACCCGCCCCGCCCCCACCCGATGGCTTTGCTCTCCTGCTACTGTCCAAGCTTCGCTCCCCTCATCCGCTCCCTTTCGCTCCTCTCCAATCCATCCCACCCTCCGCTTCCGGACACAAGCACCTGTGCTGAAGGTCTGAGCCCGTTAGAGCCGGGGCAGGGTGGGACGGACACGCCCGAGTCCTGAGTGAGTGGCCGGGCCATCCCTCTGCATCTGGGGGGCGTGCCTAGAAGTGCCGTCCTCTGTCTGAGCACTCCTCCACAAAGCCGGCGGCGGCTGGGTTCCCCGCAGCTTGGAGACTGGCACCTCTGCTCATTTGTGCCTCAGACTCCCCTCCCCCCTTCACTAAAAACAAACCACCCCTCACCGCTGGCACCTAATGGGATCCACGGGGAGATAAGCTCCCCAGAAAGTTAACCAATTAGTGATGAGGTGGTCATTTCATTACAATAATCCCTTGTTTTCATTAGCTCTAAATCAGTGCTTTAAATTTGTGAATTTCTTCACCGTGTCACCGCTTTGGATGAGAGTGATCTGAAGACACGTGTAGTGTAGGGACGAGGGGTCACCTGCAGATGTGAGACTTCAGGACTCACTGAGGCTCAGCTCCCTCCTCCATAAACGGGGATGTGCCACCATGCGTGTGCCCACCCGCCAAGCGGGGAGGAGTCCCCAGTGCAGAAGACAGGGCGGGCGGCCCCTGAGCCAAGCTGGGAGTGACAGGTGTGACTAGCGCTCAGTCCTGTCTCCCCGAGAGTGCAGGCGTCAGGAAATCCCAGTCACCCCTGGTTGGCCAGGAGCCCTTGGTCAGCTGTTCTGTCACAGCCTCTCTGCTCCTTTGTTCTTGGTGCCCAGACCAGTGGTTCTCAGGCAGGGCAATTGTGCCCCAGGGGACATAGGCAGTGCCTGGAGACAGGGTCCAGTGTCACAGCTGAGAGTGGAGGTGCTGCTGGGCCAGGCAGGTAGAGCTGGGGTGCTGCTCAGCGGCCCAGAGTGCACAGGACACCCCACACAGCATCACGTGGCCCCATGTCTATGGGGCGGAGGTTGGGAGCCCCGCTGTAGAGGGTCTGTGTCCGACCTCACCCACCTCCGTCCTGTGTGCTTCGTGTCCCGCCCCCGTGACCCACCCCGTGGCCGGAGCAGAGCAAGGACAGATGGGCGCGGAGCTGTAAGTTAGAAGACAAGAGAGAAAAGGGGAGGGTTCCTGGGTGTGGTTTCCAGACCATGGGATGAAGACGGGCCATGGGCCTCCATCTGCCCACTTGCTCTGGGGTCAGGCCATGTTATCCCATGACCGAGTCTGGTGACCTCAGGCAGCAAGGGAAGCTGTCACCTGCGCAGTGACCTCTGTGGCACTCTGCTTCTGTCCATAAGGCTCGGCACGGGTTATGGAAAAGGTGGCCTGGCTGCCGGCCCGCAGGGCAGCACACGCCCCTCTGGCCTGGTCTGAGTCTGGGGGCCAGGGCAGCCCAAGGGAGCTCACCTGGACCTCAGGAAGGCAGGTGGGGGCTGGGAAGGGTAGAAAACAAGGAGGTGCAGGGCGGGGCGCCCCTTGCCTCCCTTCTGCCACCAATACGGAGCCCAGACGTCCCAACCCGCCCTCCTGGTTCATTCTGAAGGCCGAGCTCGCTGACCCCAGGTCCATTCAGGGACCACTGGCCATTCACCCTGTTGCTTCCTCCTTCCTCCGTCTGCTTTCCTTCTGGAGAGTTCTCCCCCCGGTTTCCCTCCTTGCTGTGCCATGGCCATCCTGCTCCGTCCCCATCATGGACCAGGTGGATGACATCCCTCATAAAAGGCACTTTTGGGGACCGAGCTGCCGGGCAGGTGTGGCGGGGCCACCTCCAGCTCACGCTCTGAGGCTTGGCATCGGGGGCCACCGCGAGGATGTCAGGGCTGCTGTGCCGTCCACTCCGCGTGCTGCATGGACCCCAGGCTTTCAGAGGGGCAGATGTGACACTGTTTTAAACTTGCCTCTTCAGTCCAGTGTTGCGGAGAGGTTTGCACTCGGCATTGTCAGCCAGCGCCTTCGACAGTGATGTGTTACGGTGCTAAATACAAGCAGTTTCGTTTTCTAATTTTTTTTTTTTTAACTGGTGACATGGGGAGCGGCTCTGTGGAATCATCTCTGATTTTTAACTATAGCTTATGTTTTTGGCCTAAGAGCCTTCTGTACCTCCTGTCGTAGCAAGGCGTTTTAAACTAGGCTTCCGAGCGTGGCTGCTTGGGTAGAATTCTGGAATTCTGCCGTTTATAAATGTATGTATTGTGACGCTGCGGCCAATACAGGAAATCTACTCCCCAAATTTAGGGTTATTTTTTAGCTTGATAAAGTGCTGATATGGCCGCCTAGCACTGAATGCACTTCACACGACTGAATATACACTTAGGAATGGTTAAGATGGTAAATTTTATGTTATGTGTATTTTGCTGCAATTAAGGACAAAAGTATTGATGGGAAAATATTAATAAGTTAAGAAGAAAAAAACAAAAACCTTGCCAAAATGTGCTGCACAGTAATCAGAAATCTCATGTGTGATTAACGTGAGGGCTTCCAAACGCTCACCGTCTCTCGTTCCTATTTTGCTCTCGCATGCTTCTCACCTCTTCCTTGTCTTCATCGCCTGCCCATTCCCTTTCACTTAAGAGGATCGCTATGCCAACCACAATTAAGTGCCTACACAGTAAGTTATTTTTGTCTTTTACTTTTTCAGAAAGTTAAGTGTAGCCTTGCTGTGAGAAACGCGTATATTATTACCAAGGAGGAATTGACCCCTTTCTCCCTTTTTCCCTGTCCGTTTCTAGCTTTTCCTTCCCAGGGTGCCACTTTCCCCATTTGCCTCCTGAAAAGTGCCCTGGTCAGGTTAGGACAGCACCTTCACCTCGGCTGGTCGGGGGGG